ATATATATATATATATATATATATATATATAGGGTAGGGGTGGGGGTGGGGTGAAGGGGGCAGCTGCCCCCCCACCCCCCTTTGCCTCCGTCCCTATATATATATATATATATATATATATATATATATATATATATATATATATATATATATATATATATATATATATATATATATATTTATTTATTTATTTATTTATTTATTTATTTATTTATTTATTTAAAGGGATGACATTGGTGTCAAATAGGGATGACAATTTGCCCCGTATTCGACGGAAACGGGAATGAGAAAAATTTTTGAGAAACGGGGCGGGAATACCCGTCCCCGAATAATTACTATAATTAAAATAAAATAAATAAATATATATATATATATATATATATATATATATATATATATATATATATATATGCATTACGTAATATATATATATATATATTATTTAAATTTAAAGTTAAGTTTTTAATTTTTAAAATTAAAAACTACACTAATTTAGTTTTTTTTTAGGTCAAATACTTAGTAAGATAATAATAATAATAAACTAAAAAATAAAAAAGACATGGCATCCTAATCATCACAAACTTGTTGGTAACCTACTAAAAATGCTAATTGCATTTTTTTTTACAGGTTCATGGATCAATTTGGAGCTTATTCGAGTTCGGTGGCTTAATTGCTATTCCCAAATAGTTCAATGACATATTTGTACCTTTTCTTAAATATTTTTGACGTTTTGGTCTTAAATTTCATAAAAAAGCCTAAGAGGCCGGGAGAAGAGAGGTTAATTTCAATGGTTATATCATGGATCAAGATCTACCTTGTATTGTGGATCTTGATCCAAAACGGCATTCATATTATGTGATGCAGTTAAGTAGTTAACCTATTTTATAGCTTACGTTAATAAAGTATATGTAACTTCTACAATTAACATATTATGTGCTTTCAATTTATTTACAAACACATATATTGGCTCTGTTTGTTAAATGACTGTTAGCTGTTAGCTGATTGGATTAATTAGAGGATATAATTAGTTGATAACATTAGCTAATTGTAGAAATGTGTTTGGTAAATTAGCTGTTAGTTGATAGCTGTTTGGGATAATTTTTTTTCTCAAAAATCTAATTGAAAAATTTGTTTTGAGTAGCTTTTTGAATTTTAGCTTTTTTTTTTTTATTTTAAGGAAGGGGGATACCCTACATATACACACTATTTGCCTCAAAATGAGATTCAAACCTTACACCTCCCACTTAGAGGAGCAACTCGATACTAGTGGACTACAAGCCACTTGGTAAACATAGCACCATTTCCTTAATTTAAAAATGATTGCTACAGTTATTATCATCTACCAATAGAAATGCTGAGACGTGCTTCAATTTTAAAAAATAAAAATATAAAAACATAGAACAAACCTTTGACTCTCTCATTATGCCATTGTTATTATAGGACCTATGTTGCACCCAAAAAAAAAAAAAAAAAAAAAAAAAAAAAAAAAAAAAAAAAAAATCGAAAGAAAGAAAGAAAGAAAGAAAGAAAGAAAAGTTATAGGACATATGGGTGGCCAATTCAGAATGGACAAAAGCACATTATGAACGAACGAATTGTTTACTTTTATGGTTAGAAATCTCATTCGTTTAAGTGGGGGACTTAAATGGCTCCAAGTCCAGATGTTGATGTTAAGATATTTTAATCTCAATGGTCGGTATTTGTAGTACTGATATTTTGGGTGAAGATTTGAGAATGACGTGCCATAAAAATATTTATTTGGAATTCAAGATGGAATGATAAAATAATGTTTTAAAAGTATTATTTCTTTAATGAAGATTTAAAGTGCCTCATTCTTTTTTCTTTTTTCTTTTTTAATTTAAGTGATCTCAGTTTTGTTAGATTAGTCCTAAACTTCCAGTACCCCACCGCTAAAGCCTCTGTAGAGGTAAATCGTTAATCGTGCAATCAGTTCACCGATCATATCTTAGTTTTCATGTGCACACAAGAGATCCAATCCAGATCTTCCAAGTTTCAATATTCTTAGGATTTTTTACATGTATATTTCCAGTGAGATTCAAACACCCACACTACCGCCTCTAGTCATGACCTTTAAGTCTGGCAACGAACTAACTACGACATTTAATATTTTAAGTATAGTTAAATTTAACGATACCAATTTGTGATTATAAAATAAATTTTTAAGAAATAGAAACCAACTGTATAAGATTGAGAATGAAATAGAGAAAAATAAAATAAAATAAAATAGAATAAAGGTCAAATAGGTCATCGAAATGCACAAAATAATACAATTAGGTCACTGAACTTAAAAAAGTTATATTTGGATCCCTAAACTAACCATTCTCATGCAATTAGTCCAATTTGTAGGTTTTTCAGGTTTCTAGCAGGTTACCTCTAATTTTAAATATTTTTTAAAAATTATTATCTAAAATAATTATTAAAAAAAAAAAAAAACTTTTCGTCTCTAGCCGGAGATGAAGAGTAGGTTTTTAAATTTTAGCATTTTGGAGTACAAAAAGTTAATTAACCAAACACTTATATTAATTTTTAAACCAAATCCAACAACTAATAGTAGTCAAATAAGCTAAAATTGGCCTATAGGCATTCAATCATTATTTTGTGGACCATGGTCTATATAAGTTGTGTGGACCGTATTTTGTCTACTGTAAAATAATGTACATTCAGTACAAAAATAATGTACATTCAATACAAAAATAATGTACATTGTATTAAGGAGATTTACATTATTTTTGTTCTGAGTGTACATTATATTATATAATGAATATTCAATACAAAAATAACGTACATTTAGTATATTAAAAATGTACTTTTTATTATGGTCACATAACATTATGTGGTGCATGGTCCACACAATAATTTGCCCAACTATTTTACCCAAAAGCACTAAACAACCTTATTAACATAAACGAAAAATCAAGAAACACAGAAATTTGGCGGTTGTTATACTATGGACCATGGTCCATGTTGCTTTGTGAACCATGGTCCAAAAATGGTGTCGTTTCTTTATGTAAAGAAACGGTAGTCGTTACATTTTAACAAATCTCGTATTTTTTGTGTGTTTATAACAAAATGAAACTACAGTGTATCTCTAATAAAACTGAATAATTTGTCTTGCATATATTATCAAATAAAATTGTAATTGAATTGAAATGATACTTTAGTTGTGTTGAAATGAAATTGCAGTATGTATAAAATGAAACTGAATAACATGTTTCACATATTGAGTAGTATATATTGTCAAATAGAACTTTAGTTAAATATAAATTATACTTTAGTTTTGTTGAAATTAAACTACAGTATGTATAAAAAGAAATTGAATAACATGTCTCATACATATTGAGTGTATATTGTCAAATGAAACTGTAGTTATATCGAAGTGATACTGTTGTTGTGTGTGTAATGAAACTACAATGTATAAAAATAAAATTGAATAGCAGTTTCACATATTTGAGTGTATATCGTCCAATGAAACCATAGTTGAATTAGAATTATAATCTTGTGGTATTGTAATAAGACTATCGTCTGTATAACATGAAATTCAATAGCATGTCTCACTGTAATAAGACAAATGTATGTATAATGTTGAATGAAACTGTAATTGTGCTTAAATGAAACTACAATATATATAAAATGAAACTGAATATGTTATACAAGCAGAGCTAGTTACACGGAACATGTGCGTTTCTTTTCATTAAAAGAAACATAACTGTTTTGGACCATGGTCCACAATAAATTTTGCCGAAATTTGGTAACCAAATCAGAGAAAAGTCTCTTACTTTTGTGAGGCCCACAACCCAATAGAGATGGAAATGGCAAATTATATCATGGACTATGATCCATCTTGCATTATGGATAATGATTCATTATTATATACAGAATAAGAGTCGAATAAGCTATCGAACTAAATACAAAACTGCAATTGGGTCATCGAATTCAAAAAATTACAATTGACTCATTGAATAACATAAAATCATACAATTAAATCAAAAGTAACATGTTTACCTATTAGTTGCATATGTGACGGTTATCAAATTAAAAAAAAAAAATTAAATTTTATTTTAATAATTTAAATAAACAAATTATTTATTAAAAAGAAAAAAAAAAAAAAAGATGAAGCTTGTGGTTGTGTCTCGGGGTGCTGAAGACAAAGAACTAGTTTTATTTTAACCCTCCAATAATAGAGAGTTATTGAATTTTCTATCAGATTAAGGGTGTGTTTAGAAACGCGGAAAATGATTTCTGGAAATTATTTTCCGGGTTTTTTGGTGTTTGGCTAGGCAAGGAAAATGAAAGTCAATGGAAAATCACACCTATTTTCCGGAAAATGACTTCCCTTTTTTTTGGGAAGTCATTTTTCATCTTCTAAACACACACACAAACGCCAGACTTCCTCCAACAACATTCAACAACACCATACCTTCACTGGTTTCCGGCCGGAAACCAGCTCTCTCTGGTTTCCGGCGGAAACCAGCGAGCTCTTCTCCGATTTCCGCCGGAAACCAGAGAGCTCCGCCTTTCAGGCCGGAAGCCAGAGAGCTCTCTGGTTTCCGCCTTTCAGGCCGAAAGCCAGAGAGAACGGCGGAAACCAGAGAGTGGTTTCCGCCGTTTTTTTTGTTTTTTTGTTGTTTTTTTTTAAAAAAAAAATTTAAATTTTTTTATTAAATAATATTATTTGATTTTATTAATAAATATTATTATTTATAATATTATTGTAAATGTTATATATTTTAAACAAAATAACTAATTATTTAAAATGTTTAATTATACAATTTTACATATTTTCAAAAAATGAGCCAAACACTAAAAGATAGTTTTTCATTTTACAGTCAAACACCGGAAAGGAAAATGACTTTTAAAAAAGACTCATTTTTCAGAAGTCATTTTCCTGCTTTCCAAACGTACTCTAAAAGAAAAACGTAACGTTGGGAACTAAATACGACACTTTGCTCATAATGGAGAGAATAAGTCGAAAATATGAGTATAACCATTTTCCCTTTTTAAAAAAATAAAAAATGAACTGATGGAGAAACCATTGACTTCGTCAACGCAAAAAAAAGACTCGAAGGTCGTGTTACTCGTGTAGTCTTGTGTTAATTAAACAGCGTAGAGTAGTGAATGAATATCTATCTGCTCGCATCACATTTTCTCCGATACCACAAAAAGCCGCCGCCATGTTTTCCGTTCTCCCCTTCCTCCTTTTCCTCTTCTACGTCTCCGCCGCCGTAGTTGCAGAATCCCCAGCTTACAGCCCCCCCGAACACTTCTTCCTCAACTGCGGCGCATCCTCAAGCAACCTGCCCGACCGGGATGGCCGTATATGGGATACTGATAATTTCACCAAGTTCATTCCGGCTAACGCGGCGGATATATCAGTGACTCCCAAGCCGGAAGAGCAAGGCCCTAACGTCCCCCAGATCCCATACACCACCGGCGTCAGAATCTTCCAGTCCAACTTCACCTACTCCTTCCCCGTCTCCGCCGGCCCCAAGTTCCTCCGCCTCTACTTCTTCCCTTCCCTTCCCGGGTTCAACAAGACAGAATCTTACTTCTCAGTCACGGCTAACGACCACACCCTGTTGGGAAACTTCAGCCCGTATCTCACCGCCGCCGCCGGCCGTGACTCTGTGGTCCAGAAAGAGTATATCGTTAACGTCGACGATCAACAGATGCTCAACGTAACCTTCGCTCCTTCTCCCAACTCTTTTGCTTTTGTCAACGGGATCGAAATTGTTTCGATCCCGACGGGGTATTACATACGAGGCGAATCCGCCGGAACCGACGACGACCAAATAAAATGGGTGCCGGGAAACAATATTTATTATTACATCTACAACAACACCGCTCTTGAGACTCTGTACAGGCTAACCGTTGGGGGGCAATCTCTTTCGCCGAAAGATGATACCGGGATGTACCGGACGTGGTCTTCCGACGATGAGTATGTCGTCGGTCGTGGATATTTTACGCCGAATTTGGATGTGAAGATCAAGTACACTGCAAAGACGCCGGAATACTCTGCTCCTGAGAAGGTTTACACTCACTCAAGGACCATAGCCAATTACAGCAAGGTTGTCAATTGGACATTTCCGGTCGACTCGGGGTTTCTTTATCTTTTCAGGTCCTATTTTTGTGAGTTTGCGATCGAAATCGATGGGGGGAATCAACGGGTTTTCTCGTTGGACATAGCGAACACAACGGCGGAGAATCATGTGGATGTTTTTCTAATGGCAGAAGGTTCGAAAATTCCAATCTTCAGAGACTACCTTGTGAACGTGAAGGATACCGATGGTCGCCGGGGAAAGACAAATGTTTCGTTGGCTATAAGGCCTAACATGGAAACCCGGCCGGTTTGGGCAAATGCGTTGTTAAATGGGTTAGAGATTTTCAAGCTGAATGATACTCAAGGGAGCCTGGCCGCGTCTAATCCTGACCTCATCATATCTCAGCCGGTGCAATCGCCGCCTCCGGGGAAGAAAAAAGGCGGCGCTACGATCGGCGCCGTCGTTGGCGGCGTGGGCGGTGGGGTTCTGGTGATGGCGATCTTGGGATTCTTTATTTTCCGGCAACGGAGGAGGAGAGTGGGGAACTCGGGTGGAAGCGTTACCAAGACAACTTGGGACCCACTGTCCGCCGTGCCACCATCAACGCACAACACGGACGGGTCCGGCACGCCGCTACCGTCCGATCTCTGCCGCAGCTTCTCACTGGAGGATCTGAAAGCCGCGACGTCCAACTTCGACGAGAATTTCGTGGTGGGCAAAGGCGGGTTCGGAAAAGTCTACCGAGGCTTCATAGACAACGGCGCGATCGCCGTCGCGATCAAGCGGCTGAACCCGGAATCCAGCCAAGGTATCCGCGAGTTCCAAACGGAGATCGAAATGCTCTCCAGGCTAAGGCATCTCCACTTAGTCTCTTTAATCGGCTACTGCAACGACAACGGAGAAATGATTCTAGTCTACGATTACATGGCTCGAGGAACCTTGCGCGATCATCTCTACAAATCCGATAACCCCTCTCTCCCATGGAAGAAACGGCTCGAAATCTCCATCGGCGCCGCCAAGGGCTTGCATTATCTCCACACCGGAGCAAAATGGACGATTATTCACCGGGACGTTAAGTCCACTAATATCTTGTTGGATGAAAGATGGGTGGCTAAGGTGTCGGATTTCGGTTTATCCAAGGTGGGTCCACTCGGGGAAGCCTATACCCACGTCAGCACCGCCGTGAAAGGGAGCGTCGGATACGTGGATCCGGAATACTATAGAAGACAACAAGTGACGGAAAAATCCGACGTTTATTCGTTCGGGGTGGTTTTATTCGAGGTCCTATGCGCGAGGCCGGCCGTGATTCCGACCCAAACGAGAGAGCGAGTGAACTTAGCGGAGTGGGCCCGGCAGTGTTGCCGGAAAGGCACGGTGGATCAAATGGTGGATCCCAGATTACGCGGCGAGATTGCGCCGGAGTCGCTGAACAAGTACGCCGAGATAGCCTGCAATTGCCTGAAGGAACAAGGGGTAGACCGCCCCGCGATGAGCGATGTGGTTTGGAGCCTTGAATTCGCGTTGCAGCTCCAGGAAGCCGCCGAGAAGAGGACCCAAGCGGCCGCCGGCGACGACGGGTTCCCGCCCGGCAGCCCATCTTTCCCGCTGCTAGGAAACGGAGACTCAAACACCACCACCGACAGCAGCGAAGGCGGCGTTTTCTCGACGTCCGATGAAGTTGCGGCAATGTCGTCTACAACCAGTGGGAGTGGGACAGCGACAACCACAACCGGCGTCGACAGGCTACAGTCCCATAATGTTTTTTCCCTACTCAACCACCCTGAGGGACGTTAATTAATATTTTTCTTATCTCTACTCTGAATTCAAATTTCTAGTTGCCGTAGCCCATAGGCATTGATCATTGATGAATGATGAGAGCAGAAACAGACAAAGCTTGGGGTCCATTTTCTATTCTCTGTTTTCCTTAATAGATAACTAGGTGGGTGTATAAGTATTGAAATTTCAGTTATAAGGGTTACAATATATGTTTGTTAATAGTAATGATTTCACATGCAAATATTACAACATATATCATAAGTAACAATTTATTTTTTATTCATATTGGTATTAAGTTTTTTACAATAAGTATTACATTCAATTTTTTTTTCTAAGTAACATTTCACATATAAGTATTACAATATTTACATTAGAATTACAGTTTGTAAGTATCACAATTTCAGTTATAAATATTACAATATGTATCATTCGTAACACTTATTTTATACTAAATACTATCACAATTTCACATATAAATATTACAATATCTATTATAAGTAACAATTTATTTATTTCAAATTAGTATTAAATTTTATATGTAATAATAAGTATTATGATTTTTATCATAAGTAACAAACAATTATGTTAGATTCGACCTGTCACAAATGATTTTTTTTTTGTCCAAATTTTAAAAGTTACCCATTATTATTCGCATCAAACTTTCATTTGTCTAGTTTTATTGAAAGCAAATCAAAGCTAGATTTATAAAGGAAACGAGACAAAGTCGGGAGGGACGGAGTCTTAATACAAACGTTTAGCCTGAGAATAGGTTGTTGTAGCTAAAGAATGAGCTAGAGAATTAAAAGAACGTGGAATAAAACGAATAGAACAAACATTAAATGAACACATTAGCTTCTTACGCTCACTATTAATAGTGCCAATATAGGTTCCTAAGATTAGCTGAAGAACTTGCCAGATTGTGACAAAGATTATAGCAGTCCAAATGTAGACGAATTGAACCCCCCCCCCCCCCCCCTCCCGCCTCGATTTTTCAGCCATGTAAGAGCCTCATTGCATGCCATAGTTCCCGCTATTAATGGACACGAGCAGTTTGGTAGTGGTCCGTTTGCAGCGACAATAAATTCTCTTGCCGGCGAGAGGATGAAAGCACCAACATAGGCTTTGCCCAACCGTGGATACAAACCTGCATCTATGAAACAATTTGACTCCAGCCTGGGTGAGGAGTCATCACAATGTCGTGAAATGGAGGTTGGCGCCGGAAGTGAGTTGCTTGTCCGAGCAACAGTACGCCGAGAGGTCACCGCTTGTTGTACCGCCATCCTAGACCGCCTCATTCTTTGCCTTTCATATCTCGTAGAGGGCAGCAGCAAGAATCTCCAGCTCAGCTTCCTCCAAGACCGCCCAAGCATCATCTAGCCAGCTTGGGAAATCGGTCCCGTCCACTCTCACGCCTAACATTCTGGGAGAAATCACAAGAAATTAGGGCATGCATAACATCTTCATTTTGACCACCACACATTGGGCATGAAGGGCTCACATATACCCTTTTGAGGTATAAATTGGAGGTAGTATGAAACACATTTTTCACAACTCTCCAAAGGAAGGTCCTCCACTTGGGAGGACCTTTAACTTCTATAATTTAGACCAATTTTTAAAATCAGTAGGTTGCTCAATATATATGTTCACCCATAGTAACTCTATATCCCCTCTTGATAGTGTAACAACCTCTTGGTTCTCCATGCCAGTACCACGAATCCTCATAATCTGGGTTCACAAGAACACGGGTGATACGCTCTATATCATATGGTAAGAACAAATCTCTTAACAAAGGTAAATCCCATGAGCGCGTTGATGGGTCAATCAAGCCTCCAACCGTTTTGCCACATAGTTGATGGGGGATGGGGTATGACGGTCTGAATCATTGGATCCATACCACCTGGCAGCCATGGATCACCCCAAACTAACGTGTTAGCTCCATTGCCAATTCTACGTCTTACACCACTACAAATCAGCCCATGAGAAACCATAATACTTCTCCAACAGAAGCTAGGGCAACTACCAAGAGTGGCATTAATAAAAGAGGTTTTAGGGAAATACCTTGCCTTATAAACCCATGTTGCCAAAGACTGTGGCTCAGTAAGGAAACGCCATCCTTGCTTGCCTAACGTTACCAAATTAAATGCATGCAAATCCTTGAACCCCAATCCACCAAATTTCTTTGGAACACATAAGCAGTCCCAAGCCAGCTAATGAATTCCTCTGTCATTAGATCCGCATGAGCCCCACCAATAACGATTCATAGTATACTCTAGTGCCAAACATAAAGAATTCGGGATTAGGAACACACTCATAGAAAATGTAGGCATAGCTTGTGCCACACTTTTTAGAAGAATTTCCTTACCCGCCCTCGTGAGTAACTTCTTATTCCAGGCACCAATTCTCTGTTTAATCTTTTCCGCAATATAAGTGAAAATAGCACGTTGCCTATAAAGGAACGCAAGCCTAAGTACTTACTAAAATTTTCCGCCTGAGAAACCCCAAGCAAGCCTGCAACGAGTTCACAAGCCTCTCCAGTAGTGTTCCTACTGAAGTAGATGTTGGATTTGTGAAATTAACTGCTTGACCAAACAGGCTTTCATATGTGTGTAGGCATTGCTTAATCACTCTAGCTTCCTGTCGCCCATAGGCATTGATGAATGATGAGAGCAGAAACGGACAAAGCTCGGGGTCCATTCTCTATTTTCTGTTTTCCTTATTTTTTTAGGTAAAAATTTGTGTGAAATGTCTCAAGAGACGGGTGATAGATAAGTAGGTGTCTAGGTGGGTGTATAAGTATCACAATTTCAATTATAAATGTTACAATATATATCATAAGTAATAATTTATTTTTAATTCGTATTGGTATTAAGTTTTTTACAATAAGTATTACATCCAATTTCTTTCCTAAGTAACATTTCACATATAAGTATTACAATATTTACATTAGAATTACAGTTTGTAAGTATCACAATTTCAGTTATAAATATTACAATATGTATCATTCGTAACACTTATTTTATACTAAATACTATCACAATTTCACATATAAATATTACAATATCTATTATAAGTAATAATTTATTTATTTCAAATTAGTATTAAATTTTATATGTAATAATAAGTATTATGATTTTTATCATAAGTAACAAACAACTATGCTAAATTCGGCCTGTCTCAAAGGAGTTTTTCTTTCTTTTGTCCAAATTTTAAAAGTTACCCATTATTATTCGCATCAAACTTTCATTTGTCTAGTTTTTTTGAAAGCAAATCAAAGTTAGATTTATAAAGGAAATGAGACAAAGTCTGGAGGGACAGAGTTCCAATACAAACTTTGAGCCTGAGAATATGCTGTTGTAGCTAAAGAATGAGCTAGAGAATTGAAAGAACGTGGAATAAAATGAATAGAACAAACATTAAATGAACGCATTAGGTTCCTACACTCACTATTGATAATGTCAATATAGGACCTAAGATTAGCCGAAGAAGTTATCAGATTGTGACAAAGATTATAGCAGTCCGAATGTAGACGAATTGTAGTTACCCCCTGATTTTTTTTTTCCAGCCATGTGAGACCCTCATTGCATGCCATAGTTCCCGCCATTAATGGACACGAGCAGTTTGGCAGTGGCCCGTTTGTAGCGGCAATAAATTCTCTTACCGGCGAGAGGATGACAACACCAAAAGAGGTTTTGCCCAACCGTGGATCAAAACCTGCATCCATGAAACAATTTGGCTCCGGCCTGGGCGAGGAGTCATCACGCTGTCGTGAAATGGAGGCTGGCATCGGAAGTGAGTTGCTTGTTCGAGCAGCAGAGGTCACCACCTGCTGTGTCGTCATCTAGGTTCTGCGCGGTAGTGGTAATCTAGCCTCCCAGACCGCCTCACTCCTCGCCTTCCATATATCGTAGAGGGTAGCAGCAAGAATCTCCAGCTCGGCTTCCTCCAAGATCGCCCAAGTATCATCTAGCCAGCCTGGGAAATCGGTGTCGTCCACATCTGCAAGTGGCAGTCCACCCTCACGCCAAACATGATGGGAGAAATCATAAGAAATTAGGGCATACATAACATCTTCATTTTGACCACCACACATTGGGCAAGAATGGCTCACATATACCCTTTTGAGGTATAAATTGGTGGCAGTAGGAAACACATTTTTTACAGCTCTCTAAATGAAGGTCCTCCACTTGGGCGACCTTTACCTTCCATAACTTAGACCAATTTTTAAAACCAGTAGGTTGGTTAATATATATGTTCACCCATAGTAACTCTATATCCCCTCTTGACAGTGTAGCAACCCCTTGGGTCTTCATGCCAGTACCACGAATTCTCATAATATGGGTTCACATGAACACGGGTGATACGCTCTATATCATATGGTAAGAACAAATCTCTTAACAAAGGTAAATCCCATGAGCGCATTGATGGGTCAATCAAGCCTGCAACCGCTATGCCACGGAGTTGATGGGGCATGACGGTCTGAATCATTGGATCCGTACCACCTGATAGCCATGGATTACCCCAAACTAATGTGTTGGCTCCATTGCCAATTCTACGTCTTACACCACTACAAATCAGCCCATGAGCAACCATAATACTACTCCAACAGAAACTAGGGCAACTACCAAGAGTGGCATTAATAAAAGAGGTTTTAGGGAAATACCATTCCTTATAAACTAGGGGTGGGCACTTCGATTCGGTTTATCCGAACCGAACCAAACCGAACCGAACTAGTAATAGAAAATCGAACGGTTCGGAATTTTGTAACCCGAACGATTTAGTACCGAATCGAACCGAAACCAAACGGTTTGGCAAAAACCGAACCGAACCGAATGCTATATAATTTTTTAAATAAATAATAATAATAATAATAATAACAACAATAATAATAATAATAATAATAATAATAATAATAATAATAATAATAATAATAATAATAATAATAATAATAATAATAATAATAATAATAAAGAAGTAAATCCAAGTTCCTTGATGCCTGCTCCGCCGTTCAGTTCTCATTCTTACTGGTACCGAACCTTACCTTTTTTATTTGATTTCTTTATAGCTTGTTTTCTACATTGCACTTTTGTTGTTTGTCGCAATTGTTCTTTACCTCACAATTATATCTAACTTGACTTATATTTACAATATTCAGTATTTTCCTTAGTTTCATGTTTTTCTATAAATTTAATGTGTTTTACAGTCATACTAATTTTGATTTCCAGTGCACTATAATTATTTTCTAGTACTGGAATATATTTCGAGTGCACTAGCAATGATAG